GGGGACCTCCAGGACCACAGGTGGCCATGTTGGGGGATCTCCAAGGCTGCATCGTCAATGCTTGGGGACCTTGTGGTGCCAGGAATTGGACCTGGGTTGGATGCAAGTTTAAAGATGGAAATGCCACTAAAAATAATATATTTTCTGGCTGGAGACTTATTACAGTGGTAGGGTGCCTACCCTGCATGTGGCTTACCTGGGTTTGATCCCCGGCACTGCATATGGTCTCCGGAGCCCTGTCAAGGGTGATCCCTGAGCACAGAGGATTAAGCTTTAGGATTAAGCCTTGAGAACTGCTGATCTGGCCCCAAACCCCCAAAATCAAAAAACCAAGAAAAAAAAAAACTCTAAAAAGAAAGAAAGATATTTCCTCATTATACTTGGCACTTAGGGCTGGAGCAATAGCACATAAGGTAGGGTGTTTGCCTTGCACGTGGCCGACCCGGGTTTGATTCTTCCGTCCCTCTAGGAGAGCCCGGCAAGCTACCGAGAGTATCCCATCCACACGGCAGAGCGTAGTAAGCTCCCCGTGGCATATTCAATATACCAAAAACAGTAACAACAAATCTCACAATGGAGATGTTACTGGTGCCCACTCAAGCAAATTGATGAACAGGACGAAAGTGCTAGAGTGCAGTGCTACACACACACACACACACACACACACACACACACACATACACACACACATATATGGTATCTCATATACTCCCCTGAGCATTGCCAAGAGTGATTCCTGAGCACAAAACCAGGAGAAAGCCTGGAGTCCCACTGGGGATAACCTAAAAACAGGGTAAAAAAAATCAAATTTTCATTTCCCATCCTTTAATCTTTTGTGCTTAATTCCAAAGGAATTTTTCATTGCACTTTTTGGTTGTGGGGTGGGGTGTGGTGGTGTTGGAAGTGGGTGTGGTGGTAGGGGCTGACAGGAGTTTTTCAGGCAATAATAAAACTAAACATTACTAGCCTTGAAGTAGCCCAAAAGCATAAAGACCACATCCTTTTAAGATGCAAATACTGAGCTCTTTTGGAAATGGAGAAAATGAGCCCACACCCAGAAGCAGAAACTGAGGCACCATCCAGAGAAAGGCAGGTCTCCCTAACAAAGAAGAAGCTACAGGAGAACCAAAAGGTCATGATAAGAATATCAAAGGAGCACCCAGAATCCAAGGCTTTTTCCCTGTGCCAACAACCACATCAACTTTTCTGTTCTGAAAAGAACTGCAGGTCAAAGCAATTTAGAAGTCCCACTATAAAATCCAAGTTTATAAAGATATGGAGGCTCAGTTTTTATCCTTGAGATTGACTTAACCTCAACCTGACATATGAGTCCTCCCAGCTTTTTTCCTCTGGAGAAGCCCAGGTTCACTCTTGAACACGCATGTCTCTCTCGCCTCTCTCACATTTCTTTAAGTAAATGTATTTAAATGAAACTTTATTACTTCACGAATTCATCTCCTCCTAAAATTCTTTTCTGTCCGGGAAGGTGATATTCCTTGGTAACCTAGACAGATGTTAGGACTGACTTTCCTTTTCCTGCAGAGCAATTCCTCTCTCTAGCCTGAGTCCACAACTCCCCAAAGAACCCAGGCGCTGCTGACCAAGTGGACTTCAGGCACAGTCTGACAGCTGCCTCCATGGGCTGGTGCGATGCTCACATCCCTCCTGAGTGGGTGCTCAAGGCAGACCTGTCCAGTCCTGTACCATACCAGGCATTTCTCTGGTAGACTAGGTGCACTGAGCAGAGCGGTAGAAGCTCTTCTTTTTAAAGCTATTTCCCTCCCTCCCTCCCTCCTTCTTCCCAGTTACCTACAACTCTTGGGGAGACACCCAGGGGTCAGGTAACCACATCATTATTCACAGCTCAAGAACCCTACTTCTAACACATATAAGGTATGTGCTCCAGTCTTTGAACTATCTATGTTCTGACCCCTATAAGATTTTCTTCTTATTTAGATTATTATTCTAAATATTCTATTATACAACACCCTTAAAATTTTTTTTTCAACCATTAAAAAAAAAATAACTTTAGTTTTCGCTTACCTTTTGTTGAGATGTCCAGGGCTACCACGCTTGCTTACAATGCTTGCACAAAGGCTGCAGAGTGCTGGGGACTGCATAGGTTATGATGTGGAGGATTGTCCTTGGCCATGCGGCCTCTCACGTGCAAGGCAAGTACCACATAACTGAGCCCCATCCCTGGGCCCTACATCATCTTTAGTCATCCTTCAAAGGACACTTGAGTTGTTTCCATATCTTGGCTATTGTGAATAGTGCTGCAATGAACAATGGAGATGGGGGGGGGGGGGTTCGGGAGGGAGGGTGGAGAGGGGATATACCTTTTCAAAGTAATATTTTTATATTCTTTGAATACTCAAGAGATGGAAGACAGGAACACACACGTTGAATTTTTATTGTTGTTTTCAACCATACCCGGTGGTTTTCAGCGCTTACTCCTCTGCGCTTAGGAATCAGTTCTGGCCGAGATGCATGTAAGGCAGGTGGTCTGTCTTCTGTTTTGTTATTCCGGCCCCTATTCTTACTTTTTTCTTTTAATTAAAAAAATTTTTTATTAAAGAGTCATGATTTACAAAGTCACTGGTAGTTGAGTTTTAGGCATACAATAATTCAATATCAATCCCTCCACCAGTATCACCTTTCCCTATACCCATCATTCATATCAGTGGTATAATTGATGCTCTGATGCCCTTAACCCATTACTTCTCATTCTTTTCTTCCCCCCTTGATTTCTTACCTTTTGTCTGTTTCCTCTCTAAACACTGGGGTAAAGGGTGATCTAGACATCCCCCTTTTACTACAAAACATTTCCTCATCCAGTACTTTATATTACACAGATAAGTAAGATCATTCTGTCTTTCTTCTTCTGGCTTACTTCACTCAACATATCTTCCAGTTACAACCACGTTGCTGCAAGTTGCATGGTTTAATCATTTCTTGTAGCTGCATAGTATTCCACTGTGCACATGTACAACATCTCCTTTGAAAAATCTTCAGTGTTTCCAACAACAGTATAAAAAGGTTCCCTTTTCCACATCCCTCCCAACACTTAGTTGCTTTATTTTTTATAAGAGCCATTCAAATAGGTGTAGCATTATATTGCATTGTTTTTATTTATATTTTCCTCATAACAAGTGATAAGAAAAAGTGATTAAGGAACCTCCTTTCCATGTCTATGCCAATGTGCTTATCTTCGGAAATAGATCTACTCAACTCCTTTCTTTAAAAATTAGGTTACTTGGTTTTAGGGTTTTGTTTTGTTGGTTTTTTTTTTTTTGAGTGTGAGTTCTTTAGATATTGTACGTGTTTAACACCCAAACACATTTTGGATGAATCTCCTATTTAGAAATTTAACTGCTTTGTTTGTTTTTGGGGGCCATATCCAGTAGTGCTTAGGGCTCACTCCTGACTGCTCAGGGGACCATAAGTAGTAACAAAGGACGAACTACAGTTGCCCTGTGTAAGGAAAACACTTTACCCCCATATTACCTCTCTGCCCTGTTTTTACTTAATTTAGTTTTAAAATTTATTCAACTCCAATTGAATTGAATCTACAAAGTCATCACTGAGGTCAATGTCAAGGAGCTTCCTGCCTAGTCTTTCTTCTCTGTATGTTGTGGTTTGAAATTGTATATCCAAGTCTTTAATCCATTCTGAATTAATTTTTGTGCACAGTAGAAGATAGTGATCCCATTTTATTAATGTGTGTGGCTGGCATGTTATCTCAAAACCATTTATTGAAGAGACTTTTCTTTCCCCATTGCATTGTCTTGGGTTCTTTCTTGTCAACTGCATTTCAATCTAGGTGTGGGTTTACTTCGGGACTCCCAATAGTACAGACCTGTATTATTGATCTGTATTTCCATTTCTATGTCATTTTTTATTTCAATAGCTATTATTTAATTTGTCTATTGTTTTGGGCCATAGCCAGAGGTAGTTGGTGCTTACTCCTGGCTCTGTGCTCAAGGGGCCATATGAGGTGCCTAGGAACAAATGCAGAATGACGGCATGCAAACTTTACCCGCTGTACTATCTCTCTAGCTCCAGGATTTTGATAAAAATGATTTCAATAAAGTATATTTCTAAGTCAGGGACTTTATACTTCCATTTTTGTTCTTTCATTTTTTAAATTGCTTTGGCTATTTATGATTTTTATCCTTTCATGTTTATACTCTTACATGTGCATAAACTTCTACTATTTGAATTTGCTTTAAATTATATATCTTGCCTCCTGTTAAATATAGGTTTTTTTCTACATTTTACCCTCATCACCTTAGATTTTTTGTTAGATACTTTATTTCTGCATTCTCAGAGTACAAAATGTTTAAATATTCTGTCCCACTTATTCCATTTTGCTTCAGTATTAGTTCTAGTTAAATATATTCAGTTCTCTCTACTAGCCTTTCTGCTGATGTTTCCCCAATCATCACTTAGTTGACTGAAATGTATCCTTTTACCTGATTAAGTTTAGATGACAGAGAATTTTAGGTTCAAATTCAGAACAAATTAGCGGTTACCAATCCAGGTGCTCGGGGCTTACCCCTGGCTCTGTGTCATAGATCACCTGTGGCAGGGCACAGGAGACCGTATTTGGTGCTGGAAATCAAACCTGGGTAAGCCACATGTAAGCCAAGTGTCCTCTCTGTTTTACTATCTCTCTCACCCCATGAGAATATGAAATTGAAAACAATGTTTTTTTGTTGTGAACTAGAGTAATCACTTTCCCTGTCTGGTTCCCTATTCCCTAGTCTGTAACATGAGCATACTAAGATTAAAGTTTTCCTAAAACAGTTTGAGTCTACCTCTTAAAATTTTTGTCAGGTTGACATTAACTTAAGGAGGAAAAATATTCCTTAGATACAAGGTAAATAAATAAATAGCATTAGTTCTTAATCATACTAAAAGAGACAGAATTTGTGAACAAAATTAGGGCTTCCCATTTTTCACTATATTTTATGTCAAACTACATTATGTTGCTCAAAAAAGACCACCAAACTTCTTACCACTAGTTTATAGAATTCAACTTAGACATTTATAGGCAATGTGGCAATAATAAGGAGGTTCATGGATGAATTTTTCTGGATCCAAGAAAGAGTAAATATGAAGAAACAACTTTAATTTGTTGAAATCAAGGTGATAGATTAGATAGTCTCCTGGTTTGCTATAAGCAAGGGGTTAGGTGACAATGAGACTAATGCAGTAATTGGTCTTGTAGGGAATTCCTTCTCTCTTTATAACACTCCTTATTTTTGTCTAGATAACTCTACCCCAATGGAGTACATACAATTTGGGGGAAGCAAATTACATCGCTGTCACTATTAGAACTAAATGAACCATAATCCCATGGTATTAATGGATGGGAACATAATTTAGGACCTTTAGGACAAAAAGAAGCATCTGTAAAACTTTGTTCCTCTCCAAAATTCAGAACCACTATGCTTCTGTGGAGGAGGGAAAGTGCATCTACTTCCATGAGCCACTCTTAAGTGGTATCATATGAGAGGCAAAATTAAGGAATGGAAGGAGTCTTTGATCATCTAAGTCTGACTCTAAAACCAGCACTCTACTTGTAAACTTCCCTGTTAGGCTGGAGTACATGCTTTGCAGGCAGGAGTCACAGTTCAATCCCTACCACCACAGAGTGACCCTCCCCAAGATAAAATTTTCTCTATATTAAGTAAATTTGTATAGGACTCCCTTCCCCTTGCAATTGGGACGGTTTCAGATATGCAGAGTGTTGATTTAAAGAGTATTGAGAGTGTGGTATTTGAACAAATTTACATGTGAAACCTATCATTAACAGTATTGTAAAATACAGTGTTTAATTTTTTTAAGGTGCTGATTCATCCAAAGAAACTTGAAAATATTTAACAATGGAGTCAAATTAAGATCAAATCAATTATGTATATTTACTCTGAGACTGAAACTACTCATAAGCTAAGTTGCAAGACCATGAACCCTTAATGTACAACTTCAGAGGCAACAGTGTAAAAGAAAATCTATAAATGGGCAAATATATCGACCAATTTGTTCAGGGCAGTCACTTGTTTATACTTGTTTTCCTAGCATTAATATTAATAGTACACCATCATGCTTAAGTACGACAGCATATAGTTGCCCTGACACTGAAGCATATTGTTTTGAATAGTATTGGAGATAATAGAAATAATTAGAGATAGAAAAATAGCAGTAATAAAAGGATATGTCTGGAAACCTCTCCAAGATAAAATGATTTACTCTTGAAGCCCTATGACTGATTTGGGGGAAAGCAGAAATATCTATGTCTCTAAAAAGTTAGCAATCTTGTGTCACTTATAATTTATTTGGGTCCAAATTACTTCACTTTTCTATTAAGGTGGATGAGTAGCACACAATCTATTAGTGTTGATACTCAATCAGAGGGTGCTGGGCATTAATAACAAAAGCAGAACACCCAGGGCAGAAGCAAAATGCATGAAGGATCAAAAGGGCAAAGGATCAAAAAAGAGGCCAAAAAGTCAGGCTTTGCTTAGGGCATTCATGGACACTTTTTAATACCCTAAGCAACAGCTGTCATTTGTACCTTTGTTTTCTTCAAGAGAAAATTCTACTGCAGAGGTCACAGAGAGTTGGGGGGAAAGAGCACAGGCAATGCTTGTTATTGCTTTAGTCCTGTTTTTAAAGACAGGTCTGTATCATTTGGCTTCATAAGTCTTGTGAGTTAACAGTATATGTTAACACACATACTGATTAGATTAAACAATGTTCATGGGTCGGGCATACATATATATAGCCTTGATTCACAAAACATCCAAAAACTTCAGCGTCTTTCAACACAGATGAGGTAGGGCTGGGGTTGCAATGTCATGCCTAACCTAGGCTTCAGATTTGGAACCAGTTCATGAGGGAAATGCAAGTGAAATCGCTGAAGCAATGTTGTGAAAAACAAGAACATTTCCATCCGAGCAAGTTGTTCTCCAAGACAATGTCTTCTCCCTAAACAGAAAAACGCAGGCAGAATTGCTTTTTAAAATCCTTAGCAGTTATCAAAATCAATGTCTTCGTAGAGGGTGCCACCTGGGAAATCTTAAAAAAAGTTAGAGGAGGTGGTGTTTATTCAAGGAATTTCTAAAGCCCCGAAAGATAAAAATCACAACAGCCCCCCAGAACCCATTTCTTCACCTTTTGTCATATCATGTAATTTTGTAAGCTAAATTGTTCCTCTCCATTTGTTCACTGCAAGAAAGCCTAAATTATGTCTTCAAAGATATCGTTTGAAATACGAGGATTTCTCTCTATAGATTTAGGAGTAGTTCATTTCAGCAGACTAAATGGATTGCCTTCCCCAAAGAAAGGAAGTGTCCCATCTTCCACGAATCTTACACTTTTTCAGAGAAATGAAAATATTTTTCGAAGAGGAAATAAAATAAACTGTAGGCCAAGATAGTTTGATTCTAGGGTTGCTTCAAGTTATCATTCTATTCCCCTTTTTCAGAACTGATACGGTATTGATTATTACTGTTACAGACTTCTTCCTAAGAGTTTGATTATATGCCTTAAAAAAAATCCATGATTTTGCTCCCAGGGTATTGGCACCCCCAAAATAAATAAATAAATAAATAAATAAATAAAATAAAGAGAGAAAAAACAAAACAAAAAACCAATTAAGAAGCCAAAGCTTTAAAGTGCTGGAGCGACAGTACAGTGGTAGGGTATTTGCCTTGCACATGGCTGACCAGGTTTGATCCCAGCATCCCATATGGTCCCGATTACCAGGAGTAATTCCTGACTGTAGAGCTAGGAGTAACCCCTGTGCACCACTGGGGTTCTGGGCGAGGAAACCAAACCAGCCAAACAAACAAAAACAAACAAACAAACAAAAAGCTTCGAGGGTCCGAGAAATAACTCAAAGGGCTAGAGCACAGGCTTTACTTCATTTAGTCCTGAGTTCAATCCCTTGGGTCACTAGGAGCGACTCCCAAGCACTGCCCTCCACCCACACACATATTTATACTCAAGACGAATCTTAAAAACTGTCCTAAAATTAGGCCCCTGTAAAAGTTCTCTTACCTAGGGAAAATGGTACCAAAGCTTCCTTTTTGGTAAAACATCCACTGCTGTTCAGAAATCGCTCAGGATAGAATATTTCTGGGTCTTTCCAATACTTTTCATCAAAGTGTACAGCATAAAGATTTGTAATTACTGTTGTACCTTTAGGAATGGAATAACCACGAACAACTGCATCTTCAGAGGTTGCATGAAAAATACCTAGTGGCACTACATTACAGAATCTTAAAACTTCATGCAAAACTGCCTCAGTATAAGGCATTTTACATTTGTCGTCCCAGGAAGGCTTCCCACTTGGACCCATAATTAAATCAATCTCTTTCTGAACTTGTCCTGTCAGAGAAAAAGTGTTTAAGTCACTATATAATTCTTAGAACTCTAAGTAATTTCCCTTTTGGATAAACCAAAGGAGAACCTATAATAAGTCAAAGAAACAAGTATACCCAAATTTGAATTTTTTATTATCTGGAAATTTCATTTAAATAATTTAGATAATTTCATTTAAATTAAGTGTGATATATATTTTATAATTAGCCACAGTTGATGCTCTGTCTTTGTTGTGGAAAATACATTAAAAATAGTAAAAATTAAACAAATGCCAAATTGGAATAATATCACTCTCAGTAAGAAAAATAGTAAGGTATAGACATGAATTAAAAAGAGTAGGGTTAAGTTTCAGTTCTGGCCACCTAGTACCAGAACTTAGACAAGTTAATTACTCCATCTTTTCCCTCATTTATAAAACAGTCATAAGTTCTAAAGCAGAAAATTTTTTTCACATAAATTGAAATATTATATTTTAAAACTCTTTACAAGTATAAGGTATTTTTTGTCTTGGTATCACAGCAAGAATTTCTAAATGGAACATTTAGTACATGCCAAAGATTGTAAAAAATATGTAACCCCTAAATTTAAGGTGGGCCACTGAAGTTAAAAGACTCCTTACCTCTAGGGCTGGAGTGATAGCACAGCCGGTAGGGTGTTTGCCTTGCATGAAGGCAACCAGGTTTGATTCCCAGCATCCCATATGGTCCCCTGAGCACCATCAGGAGTAATTCCTGAGTGCATAAGCTAGGAGAAACCCCTGTGCATCGCCAGGTGTGACCCAAAAAGCAAAGAAAAAATTAAAAAAAGAGACTCCTTACCTTGAATATTAGGATAAAGGGCCATGAGAAGAATTGCCCACCGCAGTACATTTGTTGTAGTTTCAGTTCCAGCAATGATGAGTTCACCCACAGAGAAAATTAGGTTTTCTTTAGAGAAAGTAGATGATGGGTCATTTTTACTTTGATCTATCTCATCTAAATAAGCATCAACAAAATGCTGAGGTAACTGTGGTTTTCGGTTGATAGAAGCTTTTTCAATAAGTCCAGAGAGAAAATCATAGACAACAGCTGCATTTCTAAACAGCTGTTGATGTTTTCCAAAAGGTAAGATGCCAATCCATGGAAAGGCATTATACAGGAACACAGAGGCACTGGCAGCAAGTTCCACATTTTCACTAAATAACTCGATCATATGCTGAAAATCAGTGTCTTCATAACTGAATCGTTCGCCAAAAAGAATCAGGTTGGTTATGTTTGAAACAGCATTGGTGATTAATTGCTTTAAGTCAAATGGTCTACCTTTGTATGTTTCAACAGCATCAATGAAAAATTTGGTTTCTTCTAAGATTTTAGATTCAAAAGACCTTTGACCATATCCAAAATAGCGAAAGATATTTACAGCTAATTTTCGATGATCAACCCATCCTCGACCATACCTGGAATTGAGCAGACCTATAGGGAAAAAGGTACATTAAAAAAATATTGTATTATAGACTGGAGAGATAGTACAGTGGATAAGGCACTTGCTTTACAAGAAACCAATCTGGGTTTGATCCCCGGCATCCCATACAGTCCCCTGAGCACCACCAGAAATTATTCCTGAGTGCAGATAGAGCCAGTAGAACCCCTGAGCACTGGAGCGTCACCAGGTGTGTCCCCCAAACCACTATATCTCTATCTATCTGTCATCTATCTATCTAGAGAGAACAGAGTGGGGAGGAAAGTGAGGTGGGAAGAGAAGAGAGAAGAAACATGAATATGCACTTTTAAGTGAAATTATTTCTTACTCACATTTTCACTAATACCTGGCAACATTGGTTAAGTACCAATGGCAACATTGTTAAGTACCATTAATTTATGGTACTTACCATAAAAATGTCATGTTCTCTTATATAAATGAGATGCTGGTATAAATCACTTTCCAACTGTTTTATTTTGGGCCCACACCTAGCAGTGCTCAGGGATTACTTCTGGTTCTGTGTTCAGGGATCACTCCTGACAGTACTGGAGATCAAACCAGGGTTTGATCTAGTTACAAGTTAGGCATCTCTCCCCTGTACTATCTATCTGGCCCCCCAACAACTTGTTGTTTAGTTTGGGGCAACACCCAGCAATACTCAGGAGCTATTTCTGGCTCTGCACTCAGGAAGCAGCTATCCAGAGAAAGATCACTACTGGTAGAGGAAACAGTGCAAAAAGTCACTGAAACGAGAGGAAGCTACAGAAACATATAGAAAATATATACAAGAGAAAGAGCAAGAGTTTTGTAATAACCCTAACACTGGTCAAGCTGACGACCCAGACATGCGCTGAATCATGCACAAGGCAAATTTCCTCTAATCAAACAATGGCTCTGATTTCTCAGTTCAGAGCACATAAATCTTCAAATAAATATATGGTTTTCTGCCTATTTTTCTTTTACCAATTTCGGAAATTCAAAGTTTGATAATTTTTTATAAAGTCTTACAATTTACAGTTTTGAAAAATGTATATTCTTTATCCCCAATGTCATTCTGACCGATCACCTTTCATTTTCATAAGATCTTTAAAGGTCTTCTATATATTGTGGAATAGTTTCTTCTTTACCTTATTATTATTTATTAAAGGTCATTATTTATGAGATTGAAGACTCTTTAAAATTTACATTATTGATTCAAGTATTGATTCAAGTATTGATTCTGGCCTGAAAATGTGACCCTTAACACTAGTGTTTTCTTTTTGTTAGTGGATTTAGTTTACAACTCGATAGGTAATTTTAGTTTCTTTTCTTTCAATAAAAGCCTTGAATCTTTATAAGCAAGATATTTAAAAGCTTTTACCTAAACTTAAGTAAGAGGGACTCATAAACTTGAAGACTGTTAGAAAATTTTTGTGAAAATTCATACTGCTAAGTATTAAAGGCAATATCTGCTTTTAATATTCTTAGTTCTTCTGTTGTTACTTTCTTCTTTGCACCTATTCTGTTAACTTTCTCCTTTCTTCTTTGTTGAATATAGAATCATCCAAAACTCATTAACATTCAACCATATAGAATCCTAGACACAATACTTTATTTTTACCATATATTGATTAGTAATTAAAAGGACTGGGCATGTTCTGAAGTTAATAAGCAAAATTATAGTAACAAAGTCATGAACTTTTCAAAAATGACTTTAAAATTCACTGTTGGAGCCAGGAGATTACCTGCCTCGTTAGCACAGAGCTGTGAGTTCAATCATCCAGGCTGCCCCTAATTGCTGAGCATGATCCTGATGCTCTGCTGTTTGTATATAGCATCTCAGTTGTTAGCGCTCTACAATGCTGCAAGCAAATTCCTACTATAATACAACCAGGGCCAAGCACAACTAAAGGGGGCAACCCCAGCAAATGCCGCAATTAAAGATGCACAACCCCCATGTCAGGAGCATGACATCCCAGCAAATATCTGTTTAACCACCACAATTCAAGCATGTGACCCTCAGCAAGCACCACAGCACAGTGTACAGCAATCTGATGAGACTCTGCTAAGTACTCCAATTACATGCGTAAGTACCACTGACATACATAGCAAGTCCCAGCCATTGCAACGACAACATTAATAGAATGAAGAGATGTGGGGAAGGAAATATTGGTTCAAGCGTCTCTGCAGGAGCCAGAGTGATAGTAAAGCAAGTAAGGTGCTTGCCGTGCATGAGGCCAACCCGGGTTTGATCTCTGGTCGGACCATATACAGTCCTCCAAATCCTGTCAGGAGTGGGCCCTGAGTGTAGAGGCAGGTGTGACTCCAAAACGAAACAAACAAAAATCAAGTGTCTGTGTACACATGAATATTACTAATATGTTTCAGAAAAAAATGCGTAAATTATCAAGTGATAATTATGCAAAACATTATTTACAATATTAAACAGAAGTGGATTAAAACATAAGAATTAACACGTATTGAGCTAAGTAGACCTTGAGTGCATTGTGGCCAGAAAGGTTCTCAAGCAATAGATTCTATAACATTACATAACATTTTTATATTAATCGGTGTAACATTTTTCTTTTCCCTTTTTTTTTTCTTTTTGGGTCATGCCTGGTGATACTCAGGGGTTCCGCCTGGCTCTGCACAAACGAATTACTCCTGGCGGTCCTGGGGGACCATATGGGATGCCAGGAATTGAACCCAGGTCGTCTGTGTGTGCTATCGTTCTGACCTCTAACATGGGCCAGAGCAATAGCATAGTGGGTAGGGGATTTGCCTTGCACGTGGCTGCCCCAGAATTGATTCCTCTGCCGCTCTCAGAGAGCCCCGCAAGCTACTGGGAGTACACCGCCTGCATGGCAAGGTCTGGCAATGGCTACCCATGACACATTTAATATGCCAAAAACACAGTAACAAGTCTCACAATGGAGACATTACTGGTGCCCGCTCGAACAAATTGATGAACAATGGGAGGACAGTGCTACAGTACAGTGTAACAAAACCCAACTCTATGAATGAGGTTTGCATAAGAATGTGATTTAAAATAACTTAGTCAATCATGAAAGAAAAGAAAATAAACATACCTCCCATTTTTGTCATCTTCACAAATAAAGGAAGACAGGGTCTATCCGCAAAAATTTCGCTTTGATAAACAAGGCATTCTTTCACTACATCATAGCCATTTAGAACCACAGTTGATATGCCGCCAAGATCTAAACTGAAAATCTTAGAGAAGAAAAGATAAACAACAGTTAAATGACAAAAATCTATCAAGAAATGTAACTGTAGAAATCAACATACACTAAATCTACCTTTCCCAGTATTTATTTCCCTGAAAATGTAGGCATTTATCACTCAGTTGGCAATCTGTTAAGCATGCTTCTCTATAAATGACACATTAAATGCTGTGATTTCACTACAATTTATTGCCTAAAGACCATAATTTTATAAATGAGAAGTGTACCTGACTCAAGGGTCTTGGGGTTCCAACTTAAGCTTTGCCACTTAACCTAGCATAGGACCATGGGCAGAATCTTTAACCGTGTGGGTTTCAAATTTGCCATTAGAAAACTTATTTGATTTACGTGCTCTTTATGTTCTTTCCAACAGAAAACATTCAACATATAGGAATCTTTTATCTCTGAGATAAATGATAAAACTACCATTTATTACTATATCATTAACCACATATCTAGTATCTTTTACTCTTCTGGCTTTAAATGTAGAAGGAGATTGCCAAATCCTCAGTGAGCATGCCAAAGAATAAGTATATAGTATGTAGGTTCTTTTGGGTCCCTGAATTTCATGATGTGAACAAAGACTCAAGGGAATCTGAGTTTGGAGGAAACATAATTCACAACATAGGCTCTCTGGCTCTCCTCTCAGTTAAGGGGAAGGTAAAATAGAATCGCCAATCTAGCCTTGCTGAAGCTTACCTTGTGGTTCACCTCAAGCTTACGTACAGTGTCTATTGTTGTCTATTTCAGCTAGCCCAAAATAAAGGTCTAGTTTGGAGAGAGAACGATGCTGCTTTCTCAGTGGGATGCAAAGATTGCTTATTCCCATGCTCTGAGGAGTCACTGAGACTTATAGAGTTAAAACAGTCAAGTCTCATCTCCACAGACATAAGCAGAACTGATTTAGTCACAGTTTACACAACTTGAGAAAAATAACACAAGTAACTGGAGGTTTAGCAGGGAGCAAAAGTTTATCAGGAGCAGTTACATCAAGCTAAGTGATGAAAATCTCGAAGGAGTAACAGAATTAGCTAGATGTGTAACAGAGTATTTAGAACACTCTGAGCCCTACCAAACTCTAGATGCATTCAGGACTTTGGGTGAGATGTATCAATTGTCAGGTCCTAGGGCAGGACACCTAAAATAAGCCAAAGAAGTCACTGGCTATTTTTTAAAGTCTTATTTAACATGGTAGTTATTTTAAATTAAAGAATCAGTCAATGGGTGATATCTTAACCCTTTCTTTTCCTTAAAAGCAGGTATTTTTGTTCTGTTTCGTTTGGGGGCCATGCCTGAGATGTTCAGGGCTTAATTCTGGCTCGGTGCTCAGAGATCACTCCTGGTGGGGCTTGGGACATCATATGGGGGAGGAGCAGGGATTGAACCCTGGTCACCTTATCTACTGTACTATTTAATCTGGCTCAAATAATAGGTAATTTTAAAATTCATTAAAAATTTTGAGCACAGGGGCTGGAGCAATAGCACAAGCGGTAGGGCATTTGCCTTGCACGCGGCCAACCAAGGTTCAATTCCCAGCATCCCATATGGTCCCCTGAGCACCGCCAGGGGTTATTCCTGACTGCAGAGCCAGGAGTAACCCCTGTGCATCGCCAAGTGACCAAAAAGCAAAAAAAAAAAAAATTCTGAGCACATCATCTATAATTATAAAGTAAAATCATGGGAAATAAATTTCTATGTATAAATAAGGTATTCCAGACTTCAAAAATCACAGGAGATAACTGCTGCCTCCCACATCCAAAGCAGGTAGAATATTTAAACAACTTATACTAACTTTGAGCTAATATAAGAATTGGAAAGTACCCCTTACTCAGGGAGACGAGTGTTTCACAACTTGTATAAGGATCAAAGGTTCAGCGGGGAATATAGCTCAAAGGGGTGGAGCACATTCTTTGCTTTAGGAACCCTAGATTTCATGCTTATCACTGCATGGATATCTGCGCACCAAGCCAGGAATAGTTTCTAATAATCCTCCTCCAAAATAAATGAACAAAGCTTGGTTTTTCTTAAAGTGATGATGTCTGGTGGGTTTCAGCTTAAGCCTAAAGTAGGTTCAAAACATATACTCTTCAAGGCACACGTCCTTTTAATTTTTGATATTTCTTTTTCCTCTGCTCTTCTTACACCTAATATCACAGTTCAGCCTATTTTATCACCTCCAATAACAAGTCCTCTTTGTACATGGTTGTAATGGAAATAAAGCCGATGATTTATGCCAAATTCCTACATAACTTGCCACACCTACCAAACCCAAGATGACACTGTCCCAGCATGCTTATAATTTAAATTTTATTCTATTTTATTTATTTATTTGGGTTTTTTTTTTTGGCTTTTTGGGTCACACCCGGCGATGCACATGGGGTACTCCTGGCTCTGCACTCAGGAATTCACCCCTGGCGGTGCTCAGGGGACCATATGGGATGCTGGGAATCGAACCCGGGTCGACTGTGTGCAAGGCAAACGCCCTACCCGCTGTGCTATTGCTCCAGCCCCATAATTTAATTTTTAAACTGTTTTGTTAAGAGACTTAGGTTACCTAATTTCTGAGAAGAACGATCTCAGCAGAATTCTAATTCAGTTCAACACTTCTACATAAAAACTTGATTTCCATTAAGAAACCATTTCAAATAACTTAAAAGTACCTTTAACTTAAAGGCCTAAAACATGGTATTTAATAACCAGGAACATTTGAGTAGCACTTAATTGTATGCAGTTATTATTCTTCTTATGCATCACAAAATGATTAACAGAAATAAAGGTCAAATTTTATCTGACTAATGAAAACTAATCTCTAGTTTTGTGCTTACATTTTATCAGTTCTCTAGCTTATGATGCTGGTGCCGAATATACCAGAAAGCAAATATACATTAAACAGAAGTCGTGGAAATACAGACTTCCAAGGGAATGAGAAGTGAAGAAGTAAACTTAATAATTATATATTTTCCTTACCTACTTCCCTCTTTCCTTTTGCAATGTATAGTGAGCTACACAAATGTAGGATAATTCTGATAAAAGTGGGGCTACGTAAGGACATACCTCTCATCTTCTTCTACAATTCACTGCTCTTCTGTATTTTAGCCTCCAGCACCTACAGTTTTCAATTGATAATTAGAGTAAGTCACCCTCTCTCTTCACCACCCGCTCTCTCTGGACTACTTCCAATGCTTCCTCCCAGCCCCTTGACAGAAGCCTGGCTGCTGAAGAGAACAGAACAGTGTCAAAATAAAACAGGTGAATTGAGCCCATGCCAGTGCTCTGGAAACCTGGGCCACCATCCCAGTCCAGGGCATTTTTCCCAGCACATGTGCTCGTCCCCTGCCAGATTCTGCAAGGGCAGGTCTGTGCAGCCTTTCTGTTTTTTCCTAGTAAACGGGAAGACCCTGAGCACCCATCCGCGTGCTAGCCGACTAGCAGAGGGGCCTTGTCTGGGTCGGCTAGGAGTCACAGGCCACTGCACCCACTTCCAGTTATTCATTCACTCTTCTCTTTCACAACCACTTTCCAGAACCCATTCCCCCACCAAGCAGGTCTTATTATTATTTTTTCTAAATCAGCGCTTTCTAACGCTTAAAAGCCTGGCTTGATCAAATGCAAACATCCCAGAATGTCCTATTAACCATTAACTTAGCTTTGAGCCTTCGGACTCCCGCTTTTCTGCACAAGCAGTGAGCGGAACCTAATCCTACACAAGCCGTGTGCTGTCCGCGGGGACCCAGAGACTCAGTCCCGGGTTCTCGAGCCCCGCCAAGGCAGCAGCATCCTACGGCAGCGCTCCATGGGGACGCCGGGAGGCGGCAGGTAGAGTCGGGGCGGGGCGTCGAGGGCGTTTCCCCATGCGCGGGGAAGCCGGGTTCCCTTCAAAGTGGCCAGCACACCCCGAGTGGAGCCCCCCCACCCCCACCCCTCAGCCTCCAAGCCCCCTGCCCCCGGCCCGTCGGGCTGTACCTCGCCATACACCTGGCTCTGCTTTCTCATGTAGACATGGGGCAGCTCAGCGGAGGTGGCCAGGGAATAGATGTTGCCGATGAACGGCAGCCCCGTGGGCCCCGGGGGGAAGCCCGTGGGCCGCCTCTGCTTCAGCAACTGGCGGACCCCCAGCGTGAGCAGCAGGAGGAGGCACAGGCCACCCAGCGCCGCCGCGCACGCTTCAGCTCCACGAGGCTCCCACATGGCCCTGGGCTGCCCAAGGCCCCCGCAGCTCGGGGACCAGGCCTGCTGGGCTGCCCCGCCGCACTTCCATTGGCCCGCACCCCGAGAGCCCGCCCCAGTTCCGAGCCTACTGGCTGGGTGCAGGGCCCCGGGGCACGCGGTCCACTAGACAGCAGCACCCAGGCTTTTTCTGTCCAGCTCAGAGTCCACCGAGAGGAGACAGAGGCGGCCTGGTGGGGCTGGGTCTTGGTCCCTGGGCCTGGGAGCCTGTTCCAGGGCTTGCCAGCACGGTCCATGCCCCTGGACTAGGCCAATTCCATTTCCCGGGAGGCCAGTGATTTCAAGACTAACTAGGGACTGCATTGGATAGGGAAGACTGCAGTCATTCTCAGCACTGCAGGCTTTGGCTGGGCTTGATAACCTCTGCTGCCCTCAAACAGGTAACTTCTTGGCAAGCGCTGAGGATTTTCTGGTTTGCAGTTGGTCAAGGGTAGTACTTACTCAAGCTTTCTGCAACTAATTATCTATGTGTCTAGTGAACTATTTCTGTTTATCCTTCTGTTAGCCATTGGGCAACTCCTTGCAACACAGGAGCTGTGGGGCAGAGGAGCCTGCTAACAGCTGTCCTTCAATTGTTAATACAGCAGTGGCAAGATTATTATTGACCTCATTAGCTTAAAGTTGATTTATACAACATAATGTTTATTGAATGCCTAAAGCAAAGGAGATACAGAGGTGAATAAGCTACCGAAATTGAAGTCCTACCCTCCTAGGCCTTTCACTCACGTGAGAGGGAAAAAGTTTAAGTACACATACATGTGAAATTTAGATAATGACAAGGTGAAAACAGTCTTAAAAAGAAGGACTGGGGGAGAGGGAGCTACTTTTTATATGTGATAGGTATCATGAAAAGACTTCTAAAATTACCTTTCAGGTAAGAGAAAATAATGAGGTATATTAGTTTTCTACTGTATTGTAACAAATTATAACAAATAATGGGTTAAAACAGCACAGATTCTTAGTTTTTGAGGTCAGAAGTTCAAAGTGCATTTTCCTCAGATAAAGACTGATAGGGCGACATTCCTTCTACTTATTCCAGAAGAGAATCAGTTCACATTTTTTTTGGTGGTGGTGGGGTGTGTGTGTATGGGGGGAGGGATGTTTCTTTTCTTTTCCCACCTTTTAGAAGCTGCCCACATTTTATTTTTCACTCATTTTCCCATCCTCCCATCTTCAAAGTCAACAGGATCAAACTGAGCACGTTTGCACTGCCATCTTTATGATTTTCTCTTTTTATTTTTGCCCCCTTTCACAAATAATCTTTATGACTGCAGTGGATCCACTTCAGTAGTCCATGATCATGTCTCTATCTTAGAGCTAGCTGTTTAACAATCTAAGTTTTTTCACCATGCACAGTCACAGGCTCTGAAGTTAATTAAACATGGAAACTTTGGGAGAGGGGCGGGGCATTACTCTTCCTATTACAGTAGAGAAACCTGAGCGAGATATGGAAGAAAGTATTTTAAAAAGGGAATGCCTAGAATGAAGGACAACATTTATTAAGCATTTGTGATGGTGTTGGAAACTGGGGATGATATTATGTGGTGCCATGAATCTAATAGTGGCTGGCCATATGCAAGGCATGCATCTTAGTCCTTGTACTATATCTGACCCTAGAAAGCACACTCCTAAAATTTCTTAAAATTCTCAGCACCAAAATTTGTTTTAGTGAAGGTTCTCCACAGAAGCAGGACCAACCAACCAATCAAATATTGTCAGGGAAGGGGGAAATCTTTCACTACTCTGGGTTTCTCAGCTAGGAAGAGTGAAAAAAAATCAACGTCAGAGAGATTAGTAAAAGAAAAAGACCAAATTTAAATATGGCAGTCATTTCTATAGTAAATAGAACAGTGAGATGTGGTAGAGGTTATATTCTTGACTAAGAAAAGAAACGGAATAGAAGTCTGGAGCACTGAACAAATCAGATGGGGGGGGGGGTCTCAAGTATTAAGGGATGATGTCATATGACAAAATCCTGTCTCTAGATATTTTGCCTTCACTTAAGATGGCCTTTTCTGTGCTGGAGTGATAGTACAACGGGTAGGGCACTTGCCTCGCATGCGACTGACTGGGATTTGATCCCTGGCATCCCATATGGTACTCTGAAAACTGCCAGGATAATTCCTGAGTGCTTGGGGCACCATACGCTCTGGTTACCAGGAGTAACCTCTAAGCATAGCCAGATATGTCCCCCCAAAAAATCTTTTCTGGTTAATGATTAGTTTTGAAGATGGCTCTAGATTAAGGTAATCTGTTCTTTAAAGCTATGATAACATTTTTCCCCATGGTTCCAAAGGTTTCAATTAATCGAGTTTTTTTGTTTTGTTTTGTTTTTTTGCAGGGGGAGAGGGTTGGATCACACCTGTCAATGCTCAGGGAATACTCCTGGCTCTTTACCCAGGAATTACTACTGGTGGGGCTCAAGGGACAATATAGGATGCTGGGGATCAAACCTAGGTTGGCTGCGTGCAAGTAAAATGGTCTACCCGCTGTACTATTGCTCCAGCCCCAGTTTCAATTAATCTTAGACCACATTAACACATTAAAATGACATTGAAAAAGTCTACTCTGCAGAGCTGAAAGAGTCTCTTAAATATATGTGGGGAGATTAATTTTGACTCATTGATTTATAGTACAGGTCACTATCATTTTTACTATCTTCCTGTTGTTCATCAATTTGCTCGAGTGGGCCCAGTAACGCTGTAAGACTTGTTACTGTGTTTGGCATATCGAATACAGCACAAGTAGCTTTCCCGTGAGGGTGAGATACTCTTGGTAGCTTGCTGGGCTCTCCGAGAGGGGCGGAAGAATCAAACTCAGGTCGGCCGACCCGGCTGCATGCAAGGCAAACGCTCTACCCGCTGTGCTATCGCTCCAGCAGGTAGACATACATATTAGGTTACTCATGATAAAAATTGTTAGTGGTGTAAATTCAATCCAAGTCTGAAGGTCTAAGAACTGGAGTTCACAGGTGGATAATGTGCATGAGGAGCTCAGTTAGATGGCTGGAGAAGTAGAAGTACCATATTCCAAGGCAGCACAGCTGATGATGACTGCCTCAGCCCAGTAAGAAACTTTTTTTTTTTTTTGCTTTTTGGGTCTCACCCGATGATGCACAGGGGTTACTCCTGGCTTTGCTCTCAGGAATTACTCCTGGCGGTGCTCGAGAGACCATATGAGATGCTGGGAATCGAACCTGGGTTGCCCACGTGCAAGGCAAATGCCCTACTATCACTTCAGCCCAGTAAGAGAGAAACTTTGTCCTTCCTCTGCCTTTTTGTTCTCTTCAAGCCTTCATCAAATTGGATGATACCAACTCAAATTGGTGAGGGTCAATTTCTCTTTTCTCTTGACTCACTAGATTGAGAAAGGATACAATTAAGAACAGCCAGATGGAAGAGCTGGACAGAGCAAAGTGTGGCTTAAGAGGAATGAGCACAACATTTCCTGGCACACCATCCTTCCCAAGAGTCCACCATCTCTAGGAAGGTAATGTCAGAGTTGAGTTACATTGAAAATACCCAAATGGTGTCCCAGAAAATTATTTATTAAATTATGGTTATGGGGAGAACCCCACATGAGGTGTCAGAGAATTATAACTATGATATAAGAGTAAATATATATGAAAATAATTACTTTTAAATTCTTTTAATTTATTTTTCTTCCCTTTTTTTTTTTTACTGAGGTTCTGTAATTTATAATACTGTCATTGCTGGATTCCTATGTACATAATTGTAATACCACATCAATCACCAAAGGGCTAAAGGCAACACAATAATTGCCTTTTTCTTTCTCCCTCGGCTTACACCTACTGCCAATCATTAAGGAGAAATTCTTTATAGGTCCCCTGATATCTTGATTTCCTAGATACCTAAGGATAAATACCATAGCTTTCTCTGAAAATATCCTAACATACAGCAGATGATCAAGCATTTTATTTCTACTTTCTTTCACAATAGGCTTTGAAAGCCAGCATTTGGCTCTCTCCTTTAAAAAATTATAATCTTAAAGCAGTTTGGAAGATACTCATTGAGTATCTTCTGCCAAAATAGAAGACATGCCAAGTCTGAAACCGTATTATCTTGCTCATTCATGGATTGGTCCCAGAAGCAATAATTCAATCCAAGCTCTGGAATATAGTTTTTTAGTAAATATTTCCTCGGGTGAAAAAATATATTTTAGCTACCTAACATGATTGAATTTCACAACTTGGTAATAAACTCTTAGTTATAAATTTAGGGATTGCCTAGAATTTGAAGATTTATTTAAAGTAAAATTAAAATCACTTATTTTATCTCAGTAAAATTGTGTGTACATTTGTTTGAGATGTCTGTGAAAATGTGTTCCTATAGTCATGGTATTTATTTTCCAGAGAGAACTAAAATTTTGTTTTTATATAATTATGGCCTCAAATTGTTTTAGACTATATTATAAAATAAACCTATTTTATAACTAAAACTTCAGATTTGGCTGCTATTGCCTAAATAAAAATAAGGAAAATAATACATTTAATCCAAATGTATTAATCCAAAGTACAAGTAAGATAGTTACAAAGGCAATTTTTTTACAATTTAAATGCAAAGTGCTTAAAAATGTCTGAGAGAACATTTAGAATTCCAAGAAATTATTAAACAAAGGTCATGAGTAACCATTTCTCATTAGAGAGGAATTGTAAGGCAGGAAAGGACAGCCCAAGATGTCTAAACAGGTCTTCCCATGCATACCATTTGGGCATTAGGTTTATTTTGAGCTAAGGTGAATCTAGGACCATTAAACGTCAAGAGAAAGTAAAAATAATTTTTTGATGCCAGAGATTAAACTGAGGCCATCATACACGTGAGGAATGCACTCTACTAGTGAGCTTCATCCCCTGCCCACTTCAAGAAAAACTTTTACCATTACCTTCTACTTAGAAGAATGAAGACTGAGGAAGGTATGTTCACTATTTAGGGTTATGTCCAGAAATAACCTTTCTGTCGGAAAAAACCATCTATTGTGGCAGGACTAACATTTAGTTGAGAGCGTCTGGCTTTGTTATATGAGTCACCCTCTCCCTGTATGTGAGGAATCATGTGGGAATGCACTAAATGCCACAGCTCCTCAAAAATATCTGATGATTTTGAATATTATCTCAAGGGCCATCAGTCTTAGAAGGGTTGTTCTGGGGGCTGGGGGTGGGGGGGGGGGGGTTGGGGGTGGCTTTGGGCCATACCTGGCTGTTCTCAAGGATCACTCCTGGTGGGGTTCAGGGGACCAAATGGAATGTGGGAGACTGAAGCTGGGTGAGCCAAGCACCTTATCTGCTGTATGATTTCTGGCCCCATTCTTGGAAGGCTTTCAAGTCAGTAAGAGAACAGACCTGGTTACCTGGTTGCAGAGCTGACAATGGGTTGGAAAGAAGTGTAGTGTTAATCTCTGTAAGGCTTAATATAGTTAAGTTTTCTTTCTTTTCTCTCTTTTATTTTTCCCAATTGTCCTGAGTGCAGGAAATTACTGTTATTTTATTTTTTAATGAATCACCATAAGGTACAGTTACAGATTTGCAAACTTTCATGCTTCTGTTTCAGTCATACAATATTCGAGTTCCTATTCCTCTACCAGTGCCCATTCTCCATCACCAATGATCCCAGTTTCCCTTCCACCACCGCCATCCCATCACACCCCCCCCCCCCCCCCGCCCCCGGCCTGGCAGGGCATTCCTGTTTGCTCGCTCTCTCTCCTCCCCGCCCCCCACCCCCCATTGGGTGTTGTGCTTTGCAACAAAGGTAGTGAATGGCCTTCATTCCGTCTATAATCTACTTTCAGCATGCTTCTCCCATCCCATCCCTTCTCTATCTGAGCTGCCTTTCCCCCAGCATGTGAGGCCGGCTTCCAAGCCATGGAGGAATCCTCCTGGTACCCATCTCTACTGTTCTTGGGTGTAAGTCTCCCATTCTGTTAAAGTTAAATTTTCTTTCTATTTTACATGATTGGGGTGTGGATTAAATAAGGCAACACATATCCTCTTGGTCTGATGTTTGGCACATGACAATTAGGAATGATGGTGACTTATTTGGTCCAACAATTTTGATTCTTTTTCAGTCATCGTCATTTTTCTCTTTACTTCCCTGATCATCTTTTGGGTGGAAAACTACCTTCAGTTTTGTGTTTTTTTTTTTTTTAAAAAAATACATGGTTAAAGCGATAGCACAGCGGGTAGGGCGTTCGCCTTACAAGCGGCCAACATGGCCGACCCGAGTTCGATTCCTCCGCCCCTCTTGGAGAGCCCGGCAAGCTACCGAGAGTGTTCGATATGCCAGACACAGTAACAACAAAGTCTCCAATGGAGACGTTACTGGGCCCGCTCGAGCAAATCGACGATCAACGGGAGGGCCTTTACCTTTACCTTTTACCTTACATGGTTAAAAATGGATTACTATACTAGACACAGTGAACAACTATGAATTATACCTGGTCATTTCCTTAAGACATTTGCAATGAACCATAACAATGTCATAGGAAATACGTTAATGTGAACCAAAGCTTTCAGAAGCGAGGATGGCATCGTTCACCTCTCTGCTTAATGTCAGGTAAACATTGGCATAGAGAACTTGAACACTAAGTTCTTGATAGAATGATGGATGTCCCAGGAGCTCAGAGAACAGAGCAGGAAGCTTGGATGCACTCAAAGTTGCAGTTCCTTAGGACTTCATACAGGCCTCTAAGCACTGTGGCTTCCATTCAATATATTTGTTTGAGGCTACTGCTAGTATGAGTTGTTTGATTTTTTTGAACATTTAGCAGAATGACTGTTTCATGACACATTCAAATAAAAACTTGACTATCGTGAAATGCTGTAAAACATGAAAACATCAAACCTAAATCAAAATGTCTGGCTTAAAGATATTGAATCCTAATCATCTAGGGCATTGCCACCTGAATCACAGACAATATGAAGCAAACTTCATTTGCTATTTCTGCCGTCTGCCTCCGCTCACTTGCTCCCTATCCATAACCTATCCTTTGCTGACGTATGTTTGTAAAATCAAAGTAATTTTACCTTTATCCTGAGCAATTTACAAGTAAAATGGTAATAAGAATCCTACTGTATATAACATTGAATAAATGACAGTTGGGTCATAACGAATATGATCACTCATATTAACACTTATAGTTCTCTTGGATTCTATACAAGTATGTTTTATTTCTGTAGCAAGTTGAAAAATGAAGTGATAATTCTGTTGGCTGAAGGAACAAAGGATTAATATGTGATGATTTAATATTTTAACTTCTCAGTTTAATTTCTCAGTTCCTCATTATTTCATTTTGGGGGGGAAAGGCACACCCAGCTGTTCTCAGGGTTTACTCTAAGCTCTGCATTTAAGGATCTCTCCTGACAGTGCTCTGCAAACCATATGGAATGCTGGAATCAAACCCAGGTGTATGCAGCCCCTTCAGTTTCTCTTTTTTGGTGGGCGTTGTTTTTGTGTGGGGGAACACAAATGGTTGTGCTAAGGCCTATTTCTGGTTATGCACTCAGTGATCATTCCTGGTGAGTCTCAAAGGACCTTATGGGATGCTGGGGATTAAACCCAAGTGGCTGTGTGAAAGGCAAAGTTGCACCTACCATCCTATTTCTCCAGCTCCTCTTACCCTCAGTTTCTTAAGGTGACATTAAATTTGGTAATATTTCTTATTTTTTTTCTGGAAGATTTTTTCTATTCCATATGAAATCCATGGTTACCTGTTCTTAAACACAATGGAATTGGTTAATGGTATTAACCAGGTACAATACCTGTCAATCACCTATATCAACTCTTAGATTCATTTCCAACAGTACAGGTGCCCCTTAGATGAGAAACTTACACAAGAAAATTCAAAAAATAATTCTGATATTCTTTAGAAAAACCATTTTATTTTTATTAACTTGAAAGTACTTTTTAAAGCCTGCTCTTCATTTGTGTTATTGAAACTAAAGGAAATAAAATAGTTTGAGCACTTAATATGCACCAGGCAATGTGGATTACCTACTGAAATTCTCCTATATAATTTGAAAGTATTTTATTCTAAAGCCAAAACTCGGGGGTCAGGAATGATGGTACAAGCATGTAAAGAACTTTCCTTGCAGATGACTGATCCTGGTTCAACCACAGCACTAAAGAGAGTAAGGAAGGAGGGAGGGAAGAAGGGAAAAAGGAAGATCCAAAAATCTTTCTTCTACACAACTAGATAAATGAAGTATCCACAGCATATTTTACCATAAGTGCTTGGATACATTGCATAAACCATAATCTTTATATTACTTATTAAAGCTCATTTGCCTTTTTTTTGATACCCAGAGGCATTGCAATGAACATCCTTCAACATTTTTTCCCCAAATATAACCAAATATACACATTCCAACTGGGTGTTTTAGAACTGAAATAACATTTAAATGATATTAGGCAATTGAATATTGGGTTTCTATATTTCAATTCTTTTGCTCTTCTGTGAATTCAATTTATGATTCTATAAGGAAACATAGCCTGTAATCTTAAGATAAAAAGTAGGGTCCTGAGGTGGTTCAATGTATAGTAATCACAGCATTGGGGGATGGGTGGGAATAAGAAAAGGAAGGAAGGGAGGAAGGGAGGGAGGGAAAAGAAAACACATAAAATTTGCGAGAAAGTTAAAAAAAAAATCACAAACACTTTTATTAGAAAGATGACCTTGACCAATGTGAGGAAATTTTTCAAAAGGTATGTTTTGAAGACTGATAGGTTAGAACTAGTTTTACAAAGTGGCTGTACATTAGAATCATCTGAGAAGTGTAGTTAATAGTTAGTACTCAGACTTAAACCCTGGAGACACAAATACATCTGGCACAGAATGAGGCCTGGGAGATGTTTCTGTACCAATACTCGGATGGTGCTCTATCTATGCATTTTCAACTTTATTTCTTTTTTTTAAATATATTTTATTTTTACTTTTGGAAGGTATTTTATTTATTTATTTATTTATTTATTTTTTGCTTTTTGGATCACATCCGGCGATGCTCAGGGGTTACTCCTGGCTCATGCACTCAGGAATTGCTCCTGGCAGTGCTCAGGGAACCATATGGGGTGCTGGGAATTGAACCTGTGTTGGTCATGTTGGCTGTGTGCAAGGCAAACGCTCTACCCGCTGTGCTATCACTCCAGCCCTCAACTTTATTTCTTAATAACAAATTTAAAGCATAGTTCACAAAGCATTTTTAAGCTTCAGTTTTCAGTGTTTTTTTCAAGCTTGTTATCATTCTCTTGTGTCATATTTACTTTTACTTTCTTTTTTTTTTTTCAAAACACCGGCATGAGTGTGTTTTTTCTTTCATAGAAATAAAGGGTTTGATTCAAAACCTTTGTTGTTTGCATATTAGGTTAGTGGTAGTATCTCTTCTGCTGGACAAGATGAAACTCTCTTCCTTTATCTTTATTTCTGTTTCGTTTATTTTGGAAGTAACCATGCCTGGTGGTGCTTTCTTTTGGCTCTGTGCCCAGGGGTCACCTTTGGCAATGCTCAAAGCATCATATGCAGTGCTGGAATTGAGCCCAGAGTCCTCATACCAGGCAAGTGTTATTTCATCTCTCTGGCCCTGACAAAACTGTTTCCTATTTCACTAGATTAAAAATTAAGTATAACTCTGAATATGATTATGGGATAGATCTATTAATAGGGTATGAAGCAGTAGTACAGTGAATAGATAGTCTGTCTTGCACATGGCTTTGCCTTGCCTTGCAAGTGGCCAACACAGCACCCACTATGGTCCCCCAAACCCGCCAGGAGTGATCCATGAGTGTGCAGAGCCAGGAGTAAGCACTGAGAACTGCTGGGTGTGACCCCGGAACCAAAAAGTAAAAGTGAAAAATAGATATATTAATCATTGTATCACTGTCATCCCATTGATCGACGAAT